ACATGTTCTGCTAAAGGTGAAATAGTAATATTATTATTTTTGACATTCCTTTTGTGTTCATTCAGTCTGGATTTTAAATTTCTTCTAGTTTGTCCCATATAAACTTTTTTACATTCACATAATATTTTATATATGCTAAATTTTTCCATTAAATCAATTTTATCTTTAGTTGTATTAAGAATTTTGCTGATTTTGTTTATCGGTTTGTATATCGAAAAAATATTTATTTGTTTTTTAAATTTTTTCATTATTTGACAAGATAAACCAGGTATATATATATGATAGTACTAAATATTCTTTCTTACATTTTTCAGCAAATGGTTTTAACTTAATATTTTTATCCCTGTTTTTTAGTTTTATGACAGCTCTGTCAACAACATCTGAATTAAAAACCTCTTTCCATATTGAATCACAGGTGGAGGCTACCTACCCATCATCACTACTTGCTGTCCTTTTTAGTTTCACAATTGACTCAACCCCTCCATCTCTGTTCCTTGTCCAAACCCCTCTGCTTCCTGACTTCTGATTTCCACTTCCCAACCTTCCCTTTTCACCTCCTCCATCCAAGCTTGTCTATCTTCAACATCTCGAGGAGGCGTTGTCAGATTTGCTGGACAAACAAGCCATAGGAAGGGTGTATGACCCTACTCAGGGTTTTACTATTGTCTCTTTGTGGTCCCCAAAAAGACTAGGGACTGGCATCCAGTTATTGACTTTTCCTCCCTCAATTACATCCTGGTCATCCTACACTTTCATATGTAAAATGTCCTTTTCCTCTGTTGGTCATTTTTGCTCAGACTATGGATGACTAAGGTCGACATTTTAGATGCATTCTTGCATACCCTGAGTGCTGCAACCTCTCAACATTTCCTTTGCTTTATCCACCAGGATCGTATATTCAACTTTCAAGCTCTTTCGTTGGTCATAGCATCGATACCTTACATCTTCAACAGTATTGTCAGGGGCTTTGCTCACCATGTGCATGGACTGGGACTGCAATTCCATTTTTACATGGCCAATTGGCTTCTCCTGTTCCACTTCTGAGAGGACTCCTCCCTTCATACCACTCTTCTGCAGGAGGCCATTTGTCTTGTGTGGCTTGTAAAAATTTCCAAGTAATTCCTCACTCCCATCCAATATTTTGTTCACCTGGAGTTTTCTTCAATTCCTTTCTTAGTCATGCTTAACTCTCTTCCATCCACCTACAATCAATCCTACTCATACAGCATGAAACGTTCTATCACTTTTGAGGACCATATATTCATTGGAACTGCTTATAACATGGGGTCATGATTATATGTCCTTGCATGACCTTTGGATCCACTCGTGGGATCCATTAACCTCAAAGATTCCTCTGTCTCGGTGGATTGACTGATCTAATACCACTGCCAGTGTTTTCCTTACCTACACCCAGACCTGTCCTTCATCTATTCACTGATGCTTCCCCTTCTGGTTGGGGACATCTGGAAATGACAATCCAAAATCTGGCACTTTGACCCAGAATGAGTGCTCTCTCAACATCAATGCACTCAAATTTCTGGCAGTCCATCAGGCATGATCCCATTTCTTACTCTTCCTAGTGGATCATTTAGTAATAATCCATTCCTACAATTCCATGGTTGTTTTCTATATTAGCTGCTAAGGGGGGAAGGGTACCTGATTCTTTGCTTTCAAGCCCTGTACCATCACTATTGGGCCAATTCTCAACAGGCTCATCTCAATCCCTGTCATATGCCTGATGTTATGAAACTTGTTGCAGATCACCTCTCTTTTCTGGACTGTATTCTGCCCATGGAATGGTCTCTTCATCCTCAGGTTTTCCATTGGGTATGTTCTTAATTGGGCACACCACTCATCAATACTTTTGTCACCCATCTCAATGCCAAGCTTTCTCTCTTCTGGTCTTGTGTTCCCCATCCCATGGCTCTGGATGTTGATGCTTTGAGCCAGGATTGGTCTCATCTTTTCCTTCATATACATCCATTTCTCTGACTTTTACCTCTGGTTCTTGCCTCGATTTATGATGCTCCTTGTTATATCTCTTTGGCCAGCACAACCTTGGTTCCATCTTCTACTCTGTCTGATAATCTGATTTTTTCTTCCTATGCCTAGGATATTCTCTCTTTTGCTTCAATCTCACACATTACTGTTCCATCAAGAGATCTTATGTTTGGAATTTGTCCAGTCCATTGCCCATGAAATCAGTCTCTCTATTCATGTAGCCTTTCTCATTCTTGTTGCCCTTTAACTTTTTTATATATCAGTATATGTGGTGTGTCTTTTGTCATTGGTCCATCCACCATCACTTTCTTCTGACTCTCCTACTGTTGGCCATCTCTTTACTTTATTTATCTGGCTATTTGACCATAGATTATATTTCTCTACCATTGCCAGTTTTATCAGGGGCCATATCCACAACATTTCCCCTTCCTCAATATCACAGGGTATTTTCCTCCCATGTTCTCCCCATCTTGTTCTGTTCCTTCCTTCTCCATAGGCCTTTGTCTTCTTGCCCCACTCCCATGCCTGACTGAGACCTCAGTATAGTTCTCTTCACTCACACTCATACTCTCTTCCACTGCTCTTATATTATTTTATATCCTGACTGGTCTTTCCTTTCTAAGACATCTTCCCTTTGGGAAGGTAACCACTCATCTATTTCTCTTCCTTCCATTTCTCATCTCTATGATCAGTCAGATCTGGAAAGACTTTTGTGTCCTGTTCATGCTATTCATTGCTACTTATATCATACTTCACCCTTTCAAGGTTTTTATCACTGGCTCTTCATTTCCTGGGATTCTTCTTTCTCCACGGACATCTCTTCTTTTACTCTTACAGGTTGTGTCCATCAGCTTCTGTGTTGAATCTATTCCTCATTGGGGGTTGATGCTTGCACACTCTTCCACATCTTATTCCATCAGATTAGTCATCTCACTCTTTCTCTTGACACTCATTTCTGGTGACTGCTGGATGAGATCCTTCAGGCAAGCATGTGGACTACCCAAATACCTTCTACACACACTATCTTCTCCATCTGGTGTCCAGTCTCTTGAAGGTTTCTGCCTGTCTCCAATTGTCATTTTACAGTCTACCCACAATCTTTAGATATATGAGGGAATTTTCTGGTGCCTCCAGGGTATACTTACAGTACCAGTAAAGTGTTTTGCACTCTTCCCTGGCTTGCTCTTGCTGGCTTTTCAAAATAGGGTTTTGCTGTCACCCATTGCACTGCCTCCAGTAAAAAAGACCTTTCTGGACTGAAGGGGTTCCAAGCATTTTCTCCGGGTCTCCCCACCACAAATTCTTCCCTCCTTTCTAATTGAGTGGAGCACAGGAGACCCTTGCCACTTACCAGTTCCTAGCTGCTGGGGTGGTAGACCATGGAGAACCCTCACCCATTGGGTTTGTATGCTGGGATGACATACGATTGAGTACCAATACAGTGGGAAGTGGGGTGATGGTGACACTGTCAGTGTAGTGCAGGTCACCCCTCATATAGCTGTACATATATCACATGACACTTGTGCCCGTCCTCGGGCAGCCAGAGCCAGTTCAGGAGAGTTGAGGCAAGCACACATCTCAATCCATTGCTCTCATTATATAACCTGCAACTGTTCAGTAGAGTGGAAGGGAACACACCATATACACCTGTGCCCTCCATCTGCAGGTGTCATCTGTTCACTTGAGTTGAGGTGTGCACACGCTATACAAATTTCTATGGAATAAATACTGTGCCTTCCTTTTACAGCTGGTGTCTGACAGTAAAGTTGAGGTGAGCACACAAGGTACAGTCTGAACACACCTCAACCATGCCACACATATTGGCTCTCCAATGTCTTGTGTGCAAGTATTTGGATGACCATGTTTTTATTCTGCCTATCCTTATAACACATGGGGATTGTTTGCCTCTTCCTCCCTTTCTGATGAGATGTAGCCTCCCACTGGTGTGCCCTTATGGAGCCTTTGCCATTGGGTGTTACACTCCATGAGTCTTTTTTTTTTTTGGTGCTTTCTGAAAAGAGCTCATCTAGATAAATTTGTGTGCTGGTCCCTCCAACACTTCAACATAGTGTTCTAGCTAAACTATGCAAAGAGGTGTGGTATTGACTCAGAAGTTAACATTTTCCTTACCTGAAAATGTATTTTTTGTAGGTACTAACATCTTAACACACATTCCCACCCAACCTTCCCATATTTAGTATACCTTTGTATTCCTTCCCTCATTAAAGAATGAAGTTCTTGAGTGCAAATGCATAGGGGAGCTGTTGTGCGTGGAGGTGTGTTGCCATCTCCCTGTTACTGGGGGTTTTTGCTTCATAATGACATCATAATGCAGTAACACAATTCACAAGAAATCTTGTGAAATTAGGTGGGAGTTTGCTAAAGGCTAGTGGCATGCAAATCTCTAATGCAGATGCACATGGAAAATAGCTAAACTCTGTTATGAGGTGAGTATCTGTTAGAAATACATTTTCAAGTAAGGAGAATGTTAATGTTACTATTGTCCATGATGAGATGTTTTAAAATACCTTACAGTATATAAAAAGAGTGGTTTAACTACTGTGTTTGAAAGATCTTTGTATAGGAAGTGGTAAAATAATATATACGCTATCACTGTTATGAATTTTTCTGTAAGAATAAATCTTAAGATAGATTTTCTTTTGAAACATTTTCCATATTACACAGTAAAACTAGATGTCATTTGCAACAAATCCAATTTAATACTATACTGTAACAGTTTTGTCAGCCTATAAATGATTTTTTCTGAAGATACAAAAAAAAAACAACTACATACAATTTTGCTATGTTTGTTTTGATTTATTTAGAAGAAATGAAACTAATAAGTGTGAATTCCATTGCTTTGTCCTTATTGTGTTAGTGTATTGTATATTAGTATGGTAATAATGTAAATGGCAAAAAAAAGGAGTATGAGGGTGTATAGGAAAAAATATCTTTTGAACCATTGAATGTGAGAATCAAGTGTTTGTGTAATATAACAGGCAGAACAAGAGACTGTTGCTAGAAAGGAAGAAGTTAAAAAAGAAATTGAATTTTGGAAGGAACAACAACAGGAAATTCAGAAGGTATTTCTATTTTGTTTATGTGACTTGATTGGGAGTCATGAACTAGGTCTTACTTAAATCCTCCCATGTAATCGGGAATGGTTTGTTCTGCGAGTCAATTTAAAACAATCTCTATATAAAATATAAGGTTTTTCATTTTTTTATGTTGTAATTTCTTTTTATTAGTGATGTTACATTTCAATTTTGTAAGTAATTTTTTATTTAAAAGAAGTGCTGTGAATGTGGCAAGATTTTTATCTGTAATTATATATTATGTAATTTATACATTACATATTTTATTATTTCTTCAAAGACCAAAGCTGAACTTCTTAAAATGGCTTCTATGGTAGAACCCTCAATTTTAAAGCTAGTAGCCCGTATTTAAATCTTTGTCATACCACTAAGTATTCCCCACACTTTAAGATGTGGTAGAACTGTAAGAGAGGGAGTGTCAGTCCCTTAGCATGAAGGGTAGGTGGCAGAATGATGCTGACTGGCTGCCCTCCCTCTCTTAAATAGCTAAAAATTAGGTATGTTAGCATATAGCCTTAGCAACTTTGCCATAAAATACAAAATTCTTAAAATGATTGGTGCACTAGAAAATCTAGTCCATTTCTTTAAATGCATAAAATAGAAAATACTTTGACCTTAAACAATTTGAAACTGAGGTATTTCAGTAATAATTTTTATAAGTCTCTCTGGGGACTGCTGAAAACAACAATAGATGATTCCAATCTGATACAGCAAATTAGTAGTAGATTTTTCCTCAAAATCAGAGCAAATGAATTTTGACTTACTTTGTGCCATGGGATAATGTGTTTCTTTTCTGGAAAAACAAATATATAAACATCCTGATTTATTAAAGGACTATCTCCATGTGGAAGTTGTTACAAAATTATAATTTTCTTTTAAATAACTAATATATTATTGCATTGTACCATAGAGTTCCTAAAGTCTAACAAGAATATACTTCAAGGATGAACCTTTACACAGTCACCTGATCTTTGTGAAAACAAGATGTTTGTGAATTTAGTGTATGGAAGGAAAAAAATACAGTGACCTTCTGCAATCAGATTAAAAACAACAACATGTAGTTGATATTTAAAGCAAGAAAATTTGAAACTTTATTTGTGGAAGAAAATGGGCAGTAGTACAAGTGGAAAGGACTATTGCATTGTGATATGTTGAATTAGAAAGTAAAATAAATTGTAAGGTGAAATGAAAATAACACATGATCAGAAAAAGTAATGGATAAAGGGTTAAAATACACATAAAACTTTACCACAAATTCTTGACAACTTCAGGAAAGAAATGTCTATTCTTCTCAACCTTTAGAATAAATGTGGTTTTAAAATGACAAAACAACATTCATATGTTACCTTCACTCTGTAGCTAATCAATCAGAAAACAAGCTGATGTATCTGTTCCATCTGAAAGTCACAAAATGTCCTCAACACCCAAGGTCAAACAGAACTTATAACAGTTATCCTGGGAACAGTGACAGGTCAAGATACAAAAACGTTACATCTAAGGCTAAATTTGGCACAAAATCTCTAATAGATTTATCGTACTTGTATGAATATAATACACAGTTTTTTACTCCAAATACCTCCTAAAAAATTGACTGTGCATTATATTTCCACACATTCAATTTTGTTAGATATTTTACTAGAATTTACCAACCAAAATCATTAAAGGTTTCAAAAAATGTTGTGTATCCAATGCAATGAATGGGACGGATGATGCTGTGGGAATCAGAAGAGGATGAAACAAAGGTTCAAGGAAACAAATCCAATGAATGCTATGAATCCGATGGTAGTGACAGTTGTAGCCATGATGAAAATTTATATGAAGATGGATGATTAGATTAGTGTACTACCGCATATAAACTTTTCAATAAATTTTGTAAAATTGACATGTAAAAAAATTTCAATGAAAGATTTCCAAAAATATTTAATACATTGATAGTTGTTTACTTTATTTAGAAACTATTCAATACATTTTGTACAAGTGATCTGTAAAAAAAAAAAAAATTCATCAATTTAACATTTCAAAATTGGGTGCACATTATATTCAGGGGTGCATTACATTTGGGCAAATTGGGTAGTATGTTCCAAAATTAGAACTTAGAAAAATTTGCAAATGTTGTAAATGAGAAGTATATACTATAGGAGAGTAATATATGTAATATATTCATACTGTAAGAGTAGGCTTTATCCATTTATCTCTTCATTTCTTCAAAATTTCTTTCTAAAAGTTTATTCTTAATTGTAACACAAAAACATTAGATACTGACCTTTAAAGATTTTTAATTTTTAACCTCAAGCAACAAGAAATAGGAATTACATATCAGTTATAAGTAATAGTAACACTGTTAGTTCAGTGAAACTTTTAAACATTTTTAACTCTTTCCTTTTCTGTGCACCTCACAAGGTTTTATTGAGTTACATTCAGAATTTAAACTACTTTGTTCTCATGATATACAAATAAACTTGGCTTTGAAACATAGCTAATAAATCAAATTTTTATATTATTTAAGTTTTAATTATACAAGGAAATATTTTTATAAAATTCTCAATATCCCCTAGAATGAGAATTGTAACATTTGCTCTCTTGGTCTTCCCTCTTCTATAATTTATTTACCATTCCTAAATTTTACCTAAATTTTTAATGGCTCTTATCACAAAGTTAAAAGCCAGAAAAATTATCATGACTGTAGGACATTGTCTGCTTTTTAATAGGTATTATTCTGTGTCTTAGGTGCATTACTTAAATAATAAATTATTTAGTGCAATAGTACCATTAGTATAAAGAAAAAAAAGTGGGGGTTAAGTTTCATGACAAGTTGACAACGAAAAGAAAAGATTCAGATAAGTACTGTATTTCTTGTTTTTCATGTGTATTCTTTATTTATTATTATAAAAGTAACTAAAATGTAAACATTAGAAACTTATTGGGTTAGATTAGGTAAGATAATGAAAAAAAAAAAATTTGTAACAAGATATACTCACAGTCAATTTGACCAACCTCGTATAGAGTTAGGGTAGAAAAATTAAAGATAAATAAATATAACGTTTTACTGGAAAAAAATGTTTCAAATTTATTTAGGAGGTTTAAAAGATTAAGTAAATGAAATTGGATAATTTTCAGAATAAGTAAAGTATTTTTGATCTGAACATGAAAATCATTTTGCACTCGGAGCAGTCAACGATTTATTTCCATGTATTCATGTGGAAATTTTAAGTGAAATACTTCATTAAAAATTCTGATGTTTTTGTCTACAAAAGACATGTAATGCTTACTCAAAGCTTGTCAAATTTCATGTAGATATACAAAACATGTTAGAAGTTATAGTGTGGAAACCGAAGGTCAATTTGGTCTCATGAAATCGGGTGATTTGACTGAGCTCATTGCGAGAAAGTTAAGAGATACACATATATGTTGTATTTTATTGAGAATATGTCAGATTTGGACTTTCTCACCTATAGTCAAGGAAAACTGAAGTTCAAGAACTTAGTGTACATTTTACATTTCTATAGTTTTATCAGACTTTAGAAGTTTCTATAACAATTAAAATTACCTAAATTAGCAGACCTTCACTAGTACCCTATTGATTTACCATTTCTAGATTCATTTATGGAAATATTCTGTGTGTATGTGTGTAAATTTAGATCACAAAATGCTACAATTAATTTTTTTTTTGGCAGGATTATTTTAGAATTGGAGTTCAACTATAATTTTTGGGTGATTAAGCATTTTTTAGATCATGTTCAAAGAAGTGGGTAATATTGATAAGTACACACATATAATGTGGTATGCAGGATCACTGATATTCACCAGAAAAAAATCAGATATCTGCAAAACTGCAGAAATGTTAGGCAGACTAATATTTTTAACACAGGCAACAAAGGAAATACAAGTGCACAATTGTACAAATGAACAAAATATTTATTCATACAAATAAAAGCTTTTTATTTGACTGACAGACCTCTAATTTCATTTATGACTTCTACTAGCTGCTAGAGTAGAGTTTCTATATCAAACAAAGAGGTTTAATAGAGGAGCTGTGGTAAAAAAATCAAAAGATGGAATCATGGAGATATCCCATTTTCATATCAGAGCAAAGTCCTAGTGCATATCCAATTTTTATGCCAGACCAAGGTCCTAGTGCAATATCCCACAATACTTTAGGTTACCAACATCAATGACTATTCTGATAAAAATGTTCCTTGGAAAGATCCTCCCAAAGCATGCTTCACAAGTATCTGTATCACCCCTTGAAATATGCTTATCTTAGCCTTGGGGAATAGACTCAAACATAGTTAGCTAGCACAAATTTCTATGGAATAAATATTTTTATATGTAACTTTTACCTAAGTAAGAGGAATAGTGTATGTTTAGTGAGAAAAATAACTACATGCACAACACCTGCATGAAAATTTAGAAAAATGACCTGAATATATCTGAATAAAGACATTCCACACTAATGCTAGAAATATAAAAAATATAATATTAATATCATCACACTGTTATCTTTGGATCTGCAGAAACACCAGCATTTTCCTGTTGTCAAGTTATATTAATGTACTGTATTCACAAAATTTGATATCTAATAAATTCTGCATGAAGTAGGAACAGTGGCTGTTTTGAAGTTTAATTTATTGTGACATTGTAATTATAATACTGTTATAGACTAAACAGTGTAGCTCATGTTTTATTTGGCAGAGGTTTTAAAATTTTTCATACGTTTATAACTTACTAATTTGTTTTAGTGTGCTAATTAAAGTTGATTATGAGATATTATGTTGTGATATGTAAAACAGTACAAATATCTAGAGCCTGAGGTTGCTTACTGATTAGTTATACCATTAAACAAGTATTTTTGGTGACAGATCTCATTGTAACTTATCTATTTTTTTCTCACTGTTTGTATCTTCTAGAAAGAGTTGGAAAGTGTGAAAGAGATGTTTTTGAAAGAAATGCAAGAACTAAATGAAAAGCATCTGATATCAGAACAAGCTTTGATGGAGTTGCGTGCTAAGTACAATACTCTTACTCCTCCTTCTAACTTGGGTGTATTGGTTGATGCAGAAAACATGAAAGTAAATGAAGAATTACACAAACAAAGAGAAGAGACAACTCTATTGAAAGAGCAACTTCAATTACAGGTAATGGGTAAAAACAAAAGAACTAGGAAATTTGGAAGGAATAAGTCCAGTTTATAATTTTTATGAACTGTGCTGAATGTTTTATTTTTGGTTACTTGTGTATTCTGTTTCTCATGTAATTTCAGTAAGATCAGCAAAATTTGCTCTGTGTGTTTCTTTGAAAACTAAATAGTAGTTTTTCAAAATTCATGGTTCTACTGAGTCCAGAAAACTGGGAAGAATGGTGGATGTATGTACTTTTGCTCTCCCAGGCTTGAAAGGCCCTTAGGGTTTATTTCAGTGTTGTAAAACTGTAAAAAATGTAGGAAAAACAAAAATAAATATAACAAAATAAAAATTGTGGCAGCTACAAATGACAAATGAAAAAAAAAATTTGAAGACATTTCAAACATGTGTTGGCATTTTGAACCTTTATTAGCTAAAGTTAAATTCATGAGTTAAAACATAGAAAATTGGTTAGCTTTTGATAAAAATAAATTTAATTTGTAAGAGTTATATTGAACCAAAATATACAGTTAGTTTGGCATCCTTTTTTCAAATATTGTTCAGATTCAACATGTCTGATTCAAAGGAGTAATCAGTGTGCGTGTTTGATAATCATGTAATATGATTTATTTCTCATAATATTCATTACTTCTTTTAGTTGAATTTATGTTCTTTTTTTTTTTAACTGTATTTCATTTTGATTCATTATTAATTGTTTTTATAGATTTTATTTTCTTGCTTCTTTTGCAAGAGCAAATGAAAATAAAACAATAAAAAAATGTATCAGTCACCAGGTACCATTTCTAGAATGTTGGATAGAGCTCTGGCAAAAGTTTTGCATTTGATAATTGACTGTTTCTTCAACTTTTAACTACTGAGAATTCCATCTACTGCCAGGCTATGTCTCATAAGCTTTTAGATCATTAATATAAAGACCCTGCCAGTGAAATTAGCCAGTAATCAGTCAGTGATAATTGAACCTTTAACTGATAGCTGACCTTCCATACTGGCTATTCTTGCTGTTACTTGATCTTTTTTGAACTATAGGAAAACTGCAGTTGTTTATTTATTTAGTCTTTATTAAAAAATTAAATTCTAAAATAGATATGATTTATTTTAACCTTTAAAGGTGCTATGAACCATTAATTTAGTATCATCCCCTGATTTCCCTCCTTAACATTTTTTTAAACTTTTGTTGTGTATTTTGTTTATTTTATAAACATTGTAAGAGGAGTATTGACTCACTTTTTTTTTATTAGCAATTATAAGTGTTTAATGTTCACACATCCTAGTACCTATAATTTGTAATTTATGATGGTCTCTCAAGACAATGAAACAGAAAACATTCTGGATTATCAAAATAATGATCAGTAATTATCAAAAAATTAAAATAAAGATTTGAACTACATATTATGGTCTTTTTTTTATTATTAACTTAACAATATACTGACAAAAAAGAACTGATAGTTATGTATGAAGTATTACATTTTGCCACTGATAAGATTAAAAGATCCTGGGAAACTGTTTAGTGGTCCTAAAAAGTCCTGGAATTTTGTCAGCCAAAAAATGTGAGAATCGTGAAGATTGTGTAACATGTTTTAAATATTGAGGTATTCATTTCTAAAATAAAGGGATATAAAAATCTTATCTAAACTATGATTGGGAAAAAAGCATAAGTTTATTGGATTGCTCCTGGTAGCTTAGGTTATGAGAAAGCTTCATTTTATAATATAAAACATAAATCAATTCTTCAAAAACAAAATATTTTGTTAAATTTTATCATGACTTAATTTGTAATGACCTGCTTAAGTAAAAACTAAAGATCATAGAAAAATAATTACTTATGTTGTTAAGTAAGGTGTTTTATGTTACAGTTGTAAGCTTTACTTAGAAGTAGCAGGTACACACACACACACATATATATATATAAACAGTGTAGCTCATTGTTTTATTGGCAGTAGGTTTTAAAATTTTCATTACGTTTATAACTTA